TAGAAGAGACCAAAAGTTGCAAATATAATGAGTTGAATTTCATGAGGGATATCTAGTACCAAAACAACCTAGTCTAATGAAGCGTCATTTTAATCTTCAAAACCATATTTGATAAAAAGAAAGTGCTAACTTGCAACCAACTATCTTCATGGTCATTGTAGTAGTAATAAAGCTTTATTTGAACTTGCTTATTGTTTAGCACACGGGTGCTAGTTTAAATGAATATATACATAAATTAGTCACAATTAAAAAAAAGAAAAAAAAAAAGAAAAAATTGATTCATCACTTCATGGTTTTATTATGAACCAACATAATGACCAGCTCCCAGTTGGTTTGTTAGCTCAGTAATGGTAGGGCACTGCATTGGTATTGCAGAGGTCATGGGTTTGAATCCAGCACAGGCTTGTATTTTTTTTATACATTCATAGTCACTGATTGCAACACTATTGTTTGCATCAAAACACCATGCTACTAACATTGAACTGTTGTGTTGCTCAAGCATCAGATTTATAAAGCAAGGAATCCTCAAAAAAAAATCATTCAAAACTTAGACATATCTACCAGAACAGAAAGCAAGGGCAATAAAAACACAGGGCAACTTAAGAGAACTATGAATTAGAAGGTGAGACAAAGGGGACTTCAAAAGGTGAAACTGGGAGGTTAGAAGAAAAAGATCAAGGCTGAAAGGATTCAGTTGTGGTATAATATGAATTTATATGATGATGAAGAAGATTAAGAGATGTCTATCAACATTTTTTGAGACATTTAACAACCATGACAACTTACTCAGACAGCTGTGGCCATAGTGAACCATAAGATCACAACCAAGAGCCTTAGCAGTGAAGTCATCAACACAGCAAGCACCATACGTGACATCCCCCATGATGACTGATCACAACCTGTGAATCTAACACAAAAGTTCCACTGAGTACAATGGCAGTCACCCAGAGCTGAAAACCTGAACCACTTTTCTGTATGAATTTTTTTGAGGTGATGGGCAAAAAAAGTATGCATGTGCAGATTATCTTACAGTTGTAATCCTTCAGAATCCACCATAGATTATATAATTATTATATCATAAATGAATAAAGGGGGTTGGTTTCTAAATAAACTGTAGTGCTGCATTGGTTGGAGAGTATAATAGGATAATTTAGTATTATTAACTGAGTTAATAGCATAAATTGGCCACCATAAAGAGTTTCAAAGCTGACGTTACGAGCATTAGCCCTTTGCTCTGACAAAGGGCTAACACTCAAAATGTCAGCTTTGAAATTATATGATAAGCTGAACTAAGCACACATTTTGAATGGTTTTTACTTTATATGAGCTATTGTAAGAGAGATGCATGCAATTTACTTGATGTCACCATTGATAACATTTTGCTTTGTTATCACATAAAACAAATAGATTAGCCAGACTGTATTGCTGTGGGTCTGTACAGTAATAGATCATGGAAGACATCAAAATGTGGTAAGACCATCAGTGACACACTTTTACTGAACAGATACATGGCAACATGGAATCTTTTTGTTTATTAACAAATGCCTGGCATACTTAAGCAAGATGTCAGTAGGTAAACAGCTGGCTTGCTTTCCATTCAAAGTGATATAATTATCAACTGCTACTTTTTACAATCCTTCCAACATATGAAATGTATCAAACAATTTATGAGTACAAATAATAAATATAATTATAAAAGTTTGGTAGGAATTGGTTTGAAATACCTTTCTAAGATGTCTGCTATAGTGCAAGCATACAACAGAAGTCCTTCAGGGAACTGTAATGCCACTGATGATTAAAAAAAGAAAAAAACCGGATATGAAACTGACATTGATTTATACCTATTGTGGTTGAAGATGACATCATATTTTTTCATTTTTTTTCATGGCACACTGACTTGTGCTTTGAAACTTATCACCCTGTACATTTAAAGGCCAAGGTCTGCATACAAGATCAAATGACAGAGGGACTAAAGCTTATCATGATTTCTGTGGCATGTATTGATAAGGAGTACTGCATTTCCACCTCACCCTTTCTTTTGTACTCATGGAAGATAACATTATGCAGCAGCATAATGGTTAGTGCGCTTGACTCTGGCTGGAGAGGTCTGGGTTTGAGACCTTGCCAGGTCATTCTGTTGTGTTCTTAAACAAAACACTTCATTCTCACAATGCCTCTCTCTACCCAGGAGTATGAATGGATACTGGCCAATTCTCATGGAAGTCTGATAAAATGCTGGGGAGTAACCTAGGGATGGACCAGTATTACATCCAAGGGGGAGTTGTACTGGTAATACTCCTTGTTGTTTCATGCTATGAAAACCCA